AGAAGCAATAATGAACCAGGAAACAGAAATGCAACTTTTCTGCCACCCTGATAGCTGAGACAAATCCTCCATTACATTGTTCTCTAAACTACATCGTTCGCAGTGTTTTCAAGGAACGATATAACTGGCTATTACAATACAGAGAGCTAATAGGAAGTATGATTTAAAAGAAAAAAATAGAAAATCACCATTATCACAAAGGGGAGAGGATTAGAAACGTACTGAAATGCTTGAAAAAAGCCCTTGTGAAAAACTAATTTCAGTATAAATATCCCAGTTGAAAAACTGGCTGAAAAAATTAAGAACAAATATTCAAACCTTATTCGTGGAAAAATTGATCAGAACATGGAGAACATGTTTCAGACTAAAACCAAGTTTCGTATGCTACTGAAGGCAACAATGGAAATTCCTAAGTAAAATGATGATGAGTTTCTGTCATTCAACTACAATATAAGCAGCTCGAAACAGAACTAATTTCGGCTTTGTACTCACCGACAAAGAACTTGTACTATAAGAAAAGGCTATGGCAGAGGAGAAGGCCGCGGTGGTGGTGATGGGCGAATCTTCCTCTGATACCGCACGCAAAGTGATTTGAATAAAACGCAACAAGGCGTTCGACTATGGATTTTCTGTGAAATATACATAATCGAAAATCTACAGCAAATTATAAACAACAAACCTCTTTGAACGCGTGAGTATATGCATTGCTCATAAGATCATTGAACATGGCATGAATCACCGTTTCGATAACTCGCGGCTGCATGTCTGCCAGCTCAGCAGGTCCGTAATTTACCGGAAACTGTATGAAGAACCCATCAGCCTCGGATGACACATGACTGAAACTTTCAATGAATCCATCGGCTTGGACAACAGACCCGAATGCCTCCACAAGCTATATAAATCAAACTATCATCAGAAATCATAGACTTGAGAAACAATCCAAACTAGATATAAAGAAAATCTTAAGCTTGCAAAATTAGCCTAGAGAATTAGTATTCTAACAGTCTGTACATGTACATACGTGTATGCCTAGCGTAGATCCCTATAAAAATTTCATTTAAATTATGATACAAAATAATTTCAATAAAAACATAACTAACACAAATATACATCATAATGCTTGGATCGTTACGACCAATCACGCAGGCCGAACACGCCCGCCATTCCTCGGGGTTTTGTGCCTCCTCCCTCCAAGCGCCGCCTTCCGGGCTCTCGATAAATTCTTTTCACCGTCAAGGTGGGGACCAAGCGGTCTAGTCGGTCCGCGAAGGTACCAGTCTACGTTAGGCACTGGCCATCTCCCGTCTGTCAGCCAAGCTACACGCACAACCCTCC